AAGTCGAAAACACTGTCTTTTTCTCTTTCTTTAAGCGTGAATGGGTGCTAATCGACTTTTGGTTGGGGGCTAACTGGCTATGGGTAAATCGACTTGAGGGCTGAACGATCTACAAGTTATTCCAGCGACGGAGAATGATTCTGATTGACTGAACGGCCCACTATATAATTTTGGTCGATTCATACTGATAAGGCAAGGAGTTTTCTATATCTAGGGACCTGAAAAGGATAAATAATCTATATCACTTCAAATCAGTGTGATATATTGCCCTTGGCATCAGGGTCATCTGAGATCACTTTGCTACAGCTTGATACGTCATCAGTTATTTCCAAGTCAAGTGAAGTGTCAATGATTTCACAACTTGCTAATTACAGAAAAATTTTACCAAGGCTGACAGGAACTCGGTAGCTTCCGACAAAGGCAAAGAAACACGAATCTAAAAGTGGAGAAATAAAAAAACACCATACAAATGAACACGAATACAGATGTACATGTAGGAAGCTGCTTTGATGATACTCCCTTGAATTTCAAGTTAGTTTCAGTGTTATTCCTAGAATACAGATAAGATACAGATAAGATACAGAATACAGATAAGAGGTCAGTTATCCGACTTAGCTACCGAAGGTAGCGACTCTCCGAAAGTAGTGGAAGACTCAAAGTAATGATGGTCGTTAGGTATCCATGTTTTTCTACGTAATTTGAAACACGGAATGACTGATTTTCTACAAAATACGTTTCAGGGTTTTTCATTGCGTTGTGCTTCACAACCACCAAGAAAGTGCGAGGTCTTCTCAAGGAAAGGTTAAGCAAACCGCTTTGGAATGCCACGGCTGAACCTCAGACAAGCGTCACTCGTGATAAATTTACTGGAAATGCTGCTGTCGAACCGGCATCAGGTTTGATGAACATGAACTGCCTCTCAAGGGACAAAGCGAAACAGTATACTTTTTGAAAATGTCACTCCTCTTTCTATGAAATACCGCACACAGCCACTGATATGAGAGAATTATGTATCTAAACATCGAGGATAGCATCGAGGGAGTTGTTGAGAAATAGCGTAGGCCGAGAGAAAAGTTAGTTGTACGCGACGTTTCATAGGGAATTAGACTTAGACTTAAGGACTTTTCTTAGAGAGTTATTTTGTCAACGCGCGGTCAAACGAGCTGAGACAACCGGAGAATTGATGTCCACTGCAAGCACGTCACCGAAAGAAAACTCTCTTAGGATTCAATGAAAATTTGAACAGGTTCGAATAACGGTAACGTAATTGAGATATTGAGATGGGGGAGCTTGTACAAAAGAAAAAAAAATGGAGCAATGCTCTCTTCAGTACTGAAATCTTTCGACAGTGATAAACTAGGACCTCACTTCAAATTTTGCAACTCTTTCAGAACGTTCTATTCAGTGGATGAGAAAAATACCACAGGAAAATTTCTTTTGAAAGGTTGTTCCCCAAAAAAGTGACAGAGAAGTCCTCACGAAAATTAGCTTACAGCTTGTGGCGACATTTAACACCACTGCTGGAAATAGCGCACATGTCAATAGGGAACTTAGCAAACCGAGTGCCATAATTAACTCTCACAAGTATGAATTATTTCGTACTTAAAACTGTAGAAGACTAAAATTGCTGCAGAAAAAATCAAAGGCACTCGACTGCTTGTAGTAATAACCTTACGAGCCAATATTTAATTTTTTCTGTTCCAACTCAAAGCTGTCACTTGTGTCATCTACTGAGAACTTCCTCGTAACAACTGTAGTTTCCTTTTTTTTTAACTTTGGAAATCGACTGTCGTTGTTGTGTACCAAGGTCTAACTTCAAGTCTATATTACCAAGGCTCTAGAGAAGCGCTTTCCTCGAGATCCAACTGAACCTGGCAAAAGACAAGCCTGTACGCGTTAAGTATCCACTCGCTTGTACAAATACAAATAGCCAAGTTCTTTGGGAGGTTTCTCTGACAAGGCGACTTTCCGATCGTTGAAAATGACCCACCTAAGAAAAATGAGATGATCAAAGAAGCTAGTTAACGGTACGAAATAAATATTAAGTATTTTTTGTGTCCAAACTTGGCTTTAATTCGAGGAAAACCGTAAAAGATTAATACCGATGTAGAAATAGATTATAGGAACGAAGATAAGTCACATAAAAGCTAAGGAATATAAAGAATGTAGAAAAGGAATATAAAGGATGTAGGAATAGAATTTAGCAGTGAAAAGTACGTCATTAAAAAGGACAATTACGAATGTGGAAGTCGAAGATCGAGACGAGGTAAGATCGACCTAGTACCTTTAACACGTACAAGCAAAACGTACATATTGCAGTAAATGGAAAATGGGTACACGGGTAATTGTAGTTTGGCTAAAATGGAGGGAAATCAGATATATGGGTTACTGACCAAGGGTGAGGTCAAGATGGCTGGATATTGGCCAAGTTCTTTTTTGTGAGTTTATGGACCGAGACGGAGTCGAGACCCATAAGCGCGTTAAAAAGGAATGAGGCCATTATCCAGCCATCTTGACCGAACAAGCTTGGTAAATAAAGGATTTATTATATGGAAAAAGAACAATATTTTCTTGCGGGACACAACGGGTAATCCCAAGCGGGCAAGATAAAGCCCTCTTGCCCGCTCGGGTAGCCAATCACAGCGTAGGATTTGGTCCATCTTGCCCGCTCACGGACCACCCATATAATAAGAACAAATAAATACCTTCCTTCTTTTAGTACGTGACAAACATAATGCCCGCACATTGTGGAGGTGCCCATGTGACTGATGAAGGCAATTAAGCGGTATTCTGAAAATTAAACAAACATAATTCAGATATGTGAAGATGGATGTATATGAAGTATATTATGTACTGTTAAGGGTGTGCTGACAGGGCAATATATATGATGTTATTAAAGATTTTCCAATAGTCAATGCCAAATTAAAACTGTCTCTCCTACTTACTTCCTGATCCATCTTTGTACTGGGGTCCAGTGTCCTGGTTAGTTTGGCTCTGGCTTTCCGTAGAGTCAAGTTCGTGCGCATGACTAAATATCCAATCCGCTGCACGTTCCAAGTTATTGTCCTAAAGTGCGGGCGACAGTGGGAAATGAGAAGCGTTGATTTGAGAACTCGACAGTACGAAGGTACTAGCCTTTGTACGGAATTCTCCCTCTTCTCCAGAATCATTCGCAACTAACAACTAAAACCAGGCTTCAAAGAGGTTTGCTTAACAATTTGTGACCCAAGTCAACACTTATCGTCCGTCTTCATGTAGTCCAGTCACTGGTAACATAACCTTTTACGTAAGTTGTGTTGCCAAACAAAGAGGGAACAGGGACAAGAGACCTGGGCTTCAAAATTCAGCCATGTACATGAACGTTACGCGAGATGAGTGTGAAGTCTAGTAAACACGATTATTTATGTGGACAAAGCTAAAGCGTTTAAACACATATGCCATTCTTTTGCTAATTCATTCTTTTTTCGATGTGCATAATTTGACAGTTGCCTGCTCAGTGACCTGGCCTTTGAATGGCAGCGAGGCTGGAGGTGACCTTGTTTTGATACAGATCTCACTGCTTTTGTTGTGTAAAA